TTATTATTATTATTATTATTATTATCACAGTTATTGTAATTACATTTCCTACTAGTAACATTAATATTATTATTTATTATTATTGGCATCCTCGGTATTATTACTGTTACACATGTATTAGTACATAATATGGGTGTAATTCTTATTGTTATTACACATATGCACTTCTTTACAGGTTGACATGCTGGAAAATTTTATTCATGAATTTGCATGCTGTCGTACATGAGACCAAAGCGACGTGGATGTTAAATTGTGGTCGAACACTGTTAGAAAACGTTCAGAAAAAATTAATGCTTACTGTTTTTCACGCTCAAGCTGCATTGCGTCTGCTTGCTCTTCGGAAGTGTATAGATCAGGACTGTGCATTCCACTTTGATCAGTGATATCTCCTGGCGAATGAACCCAAAGCCTCGGGCCCAGCTTCATTTTCAATCGATTTAACATTGTTTGCCGAATTGTTTGAGCAGGTCCCAGACGATCAAAGTTAACATAAGCAGTAAACCGACCAGTCTCACTTTGAAACACTTCCACCTGCAATTTATCAAGATTAAGCAACATAACTTTGAGAAGCTGCGAGAAGTGTGCTTTTTCCCGCATACTTCGGCTTCCGGCGTCGCGTTTCAGTTTACTGCTTTTTCGGAATTCATTTTCTGTGTGCTTTACTGGGACCGAAGATAGCTAGTCAATGCAGCGCAATGTCAGATGTCGCTACTTCGGTGCAAAAAATTCAGGGTTCAACTTCGCCAGTGGAACAAACAAACTTTTACGATTTGCTTGTTCTTAAAAATGCACAGAAACATGCCGGAAGATCGAAAACACCACTGGGCTCTCCTTCAAACAATCCTTTAAAAAGGCAGCTATCGGGAGCTTCGGGTGGCTGCTGTCAGCACAATATGCAGACAGAATTTAACTTAATTTCAGTTAAAAATGGAAAGTCTACAGCTTTATATCTTTCCACTGATCGTACTCATCGATTAGAGAATGACAAAACGTTTACGTAAATCTGTTAACCTCAAAGGGGGCATATGCCTGGAGTTCTTCTTGAAGTGTAAATCTTATTTCGGGTTCCGACAGCCCAGGAAGGAAATTCATAAGCCGAAGATTCGTGTATTCCTTCGGCGGGTTTCCACGAAAACATCTGAAAAAGAAAGCAAATAACAAATAA